TGGGACTCGTCCAAAGATGTACAACAAGATCCAGAAACTACAGAGAGGGATAAAGCTGTTCCCCTCTTCTGGAAAGGTACTATTTACCTCCTGGGTCACCACATTCCCCTCTTTTTCTAGGTGTTTCATGTATGAGGTTCTGCGTTAACATGGAGGTGGAGATGCCTCCATCTCTGCCCAGTAAGTTGAGAAGAGGCTGCAAGGAAGTGACAGAGGTTTAAACCTCGTGCGGAAGGACCCCTCCGTTGGTGGAAGTGAGCACAGCCCACAGAGGGCTCTGGGAGTGGTCTTGGATGATGGGGACATAGGGGGATACACAGGGGAGGAGCTGGAAGGAAAGTGTGTACAGGAACTTGGAGGGCCAGGCTCGGGGGTCTGACCTTTGTTTCCTGGGGTCAGTGAGCTTCATCAGTGGCAAATCTCAAAGTGGGCTTCCTTCCGTCCCAGCCGAGACTCTCTCTCCATTCAGCATCTAACTCAAGGAAGAACGTTGAAATTGGGCACTGCCATTCCTGTATCGACGGATGGCTATGTCCAATGACTCCTAACCCCCGTGGTAAAGAAAAAATAGAGAAAACCAGCTGGAAAAAAAAGGAGTAACAAAGGAGATTGGGTTCTTACGTTCGTATATATCACCTCAGCGCAGAGAGAGCCTATGAAACTTGTCACTTCGGGTCTCCGTGAAAGTACTGAAGGATATCACACACAGACAATGTTTCCTTCAGGACAGACCGGGACAAATGCGGCCCGCGGACTGTTCCGTGTGGCTCTCAGGCCAAGATAAGCTCTTGCATTCTTCACGGGTTGCAAACAAACAAAGAATATATAAGACACACACACACACACGAACCACAAAGCCCAAAATACTCACTATCTGGCTATTTACAGGAAAGCGTTCACCACCCCCTGACCTAGAACTTATCGCTCTCCTCCACCAGCAGTCAGACACAGGCCATTCAAGTGCATGAGGTGACCAGACACAGAGAGAACTAGACCTGCGTACCGCTTCACTAATCAGAGCTAATTTCAGGGTGCGATGATTTATTGATTTAGTGATTCCTCTCACGCGAATTCTACAGTTTTAAGCCATTATGAGACTCACACCCATTTTTAACTTTGTCTTGGACATTCTCGAAGATGTCCTTCTTACACTTCGGACTTGCTACCTTTTGGCCAAAGGCTGTAATGGTTGGACCTTCCCAACGCTGGTGTAAGAGGCTTCAGTAGGCTCTGCATGCAGCACACCGGTTATTAAAGCTCACCAAACCAACCCCCTTAATTAGAGACCCGTGAAACCCCCGATCCTCCTCTCATCAGGTTAGCACAGCCAGTGGGCGTTGCTGGGCTCTTTTTAAAACTTGGCCTAGCATTATCGCGCTTCAAGGTGCCCTTCATCCAAGACGATGGGGAAGGGGGAAAGAAGAGGGCGGTTGTAAAGTTTCGGTTCCATCAGTTCAGCATACTTCAGTTATCCATCAGACAATCACTCAGTATGTACCAAAAGAAGATGTTTAGGCTTGGGAGTTTTTACTGGGCTTATATCTCATCGGAAAGACACATTTTGTGTGTGTGTGTGTGTGTGTGTGTGTGTGTGTGTGTGTGTGTGAACTTGTGTACACAGATTTAGAAGACACTGAAACGTGCCTCAAAAATGAAATCTATTCCAGAGGTAGGATACCGTCCACCCCTGACCGCCAGGATTGGGAACGGCCGGGCTTACCTGAGACTGTTCGGCAGCATCCGAGTAACCTGTGGCCCAGTTAGTCTGCAGCAAACCTGGGCCCCCTTGCTAGGACGGTTGGGCTGTATTTCTATCCTCTTTGCTAAACATCTGCTGCCTTTCATCAGCGTGAGCAATGTAAAGAGGAGCATGTAGTCATCTCTTAATTGCTTGAAAGCTGGCTCTGCAGTCGGTTCTACTTGGCAGAGGCACCCATGGCTCGGAATGCCCGATTGGATTGGGGTCAGCTTTTCATTTTGTTGATGCAGGCTGACGAAACATTGTATTTCGGAGCCTGCCACCTGCCAGGACTAGACGGCTTAAGGGTCCCTGTCTCGGAAAATGTTTCCATTACCACTCCTAGTTGAATACATGGGCATTCTGCCTTAGAAGCCAGTGTTCCTAAGTCAAAAGAGACAGTGATGTTTTCCCTTAAAGAGTAAACCAGTGCATTTCATTAAAAACATGCCTCCGCACTGCCGTCATTTCCAGGTAGCGCATTTCGGGGGGAAGAGAAGGGAACCCGGGTTAAACCACGGCTCCGCCAACAGAGAGCTGTGTGAGCCCCGCCGTATCGCTCCTTCCCGAGACTGGGTTTGACAACAACCGCCACCTTCAAAGCACGCTGCGTGCCAAGCTCTGCGAATCATTCCATTAATCATCAGCGGGGCTCAGCCTGACTCCAGAGAGAAAGGCCATTATTTCCTAGATTACGGAGGAAGACGTGAGCAAAGGTGAGATAATCCAGAGAGAGCAATCAACTGTGATGATTCCATTTTCCTGATTGTAACATGATCGAGCCTAAATAATTTCCTACAGGGGTCAAGGTCTCCGTGCTAATGAGCTGCACGGAGAAGCTTCATATACGAGTGGGCTACTTCCAGAGCGGTTGGTCCTCCCCTCTATCACGTTCCTAAATCTTTAAGATCACCCCAAGATTTAGCCTGGCCCCTACATTCCAGCTTTACTGTTCCGTGGATCTAATCATCCCAAACGGGGGTTAAAAGATGACAATTGTTTGAAAGACCAACTACCAGCAATGAAAGGCAGGAGGGGCGAGACCAGCAACATGTGGACTGCAGCCATTAAGAATCAGAGTACAGACCCAGGGATTACTTTTAGTTTATGAAGGGGCTCAGAAGACATAATGCCACTGACGCATGCCCCATATTTATGTGTCAAACCACAAACCATCAAGTCTTAGTTAAATTGCTTAAAAAAAAACTCAGGTCCTTAACGGGGTGGGGGCGAGGGGACAAAACAGTACCGGTTATTTTGGGGTTTGCAAAACTACTGCCACTTCCTTCCTATTGGTTTGTTACCAAGTGATCACCCAGACTCTTTGAAGCACAGATGGAACTTCCCATGGAAATGTTGAAGCTTGGACCTGGTAACAACAATCATGCCCATTCCAGGCGGGGAAGGAAGCTGGTGTCCAGGGGAAGATGGAGATGAGCCGGAAGGTGCGAATGATCGAGGAAAAGCAGGGTTAGGGCACGGTTCCGACCAAGAACTGTTTCTCACTGCGCCCGGCCGCCCGTGTCAGCAGTGAGGTTACACAGCTGCGCCCGGAGGGAAAAGGAAGGTGATGCAGGGACGGCTGGGGACACCCTGCAGAGGAGGAGGCCCGGGAGAGGGGAGAACTCTGGGGAAAAACATTTATTTCTGCAGGTGGTTTGGGGGCTTGGACACAGGGCCTCAAGTAGAACAAGAAGTCAGAGCCAAGTCAGAGGGTCTTATATCAAACCATCACTTTTGTATCTAAGTCTTAAACTACTGGAGATCGAATAAATGCCGCGGGCCTTGGGGGCGGGGTGGAGTAAGCACGAAGCTTTACAAAGTACCTGGTTCGCATAAATCACTTTAGGAGGGAGGCAGCCCAGGCCACCGGAGCTGGCAGAGCTTGCTGGGGTCTCATGTGGCAAGGCCCAAGTTACAATGATGTTTTCTTACTCCTCGACGCAATGGGCTTGGAAATGTTTTAATAGAGTTTAATCAAAGTCTCACGTTGGTAAATTCTTTAAAACCATGCCAACTACAGAAAACCGAGAAGCCAGAAGATGCCGATTTTAACACTCGGTAACTATTTTCACAGCGTTCCGCGACCTAGCTGGGCCTGCAATTCTGTTTGGGCGACAAATCTGGCCTAGCGACAACACTCTGGCCTCCGCCTGGTTTGAAAAGGAAACACGAGGTAGTTCTGTATGCAATCTGTCGGAAAACCCCCAAATCGACTCTGCCTCCGAGAGTGGCCGCGTCCTTTGTAACGCCCGCTGGAAACCGCCTCCCACGGGACGCGCACAGGGATTTCAAAAGCGCGTGCAGTAGCCACGGCCACCTGAGGGCGGTACGAAGGGAGCGCCGAGGAGCAGAACCTAATGAAATACCCGCTCTGCAAACCAGACTTCACCAGCGCATTTTTAAAAACTCACCCACCTCATTGTTTCCAGTGACCGGGATACAATTGAATCGCTCAACGGCTTCCCCCAACTGGACCCTCCTTCGCCCGGTAGTTTAGGAACCAGACCCATCAGGGCACACAAAGAGGGCCGCGCTGCCGGCCTCACCCGCAGACCCCAGCTGTTCCTCGGGAGCCGGAACGGTCGGCGGAGTCCCAGGGGAGACCAGGTGTTACCTTTTACCCCCGAGACAAAAGAGCCCCCGGCTTTCTACGTACCCCCGCCCCGCGCTGCCCCGCCCCGGGCGTATTCGCGGAGCTGGGCCACCGAGCCCACTGCCACAAAGGCAGGGATCCTCCGAGCCCGACGCGCCGCAGCCCTGGCCTCCGACCCCCGCCGCGGTTCGCCGGTGCTGGGGCCGGGCGCCCGGACCGGTGTTGGGGGCGCTCGAGGTGGCCGGCGGTCGGGTCCCGTTTGGGGACTGTCCTGTTGGAGTGGTGGGACTCGGCTTTGCAGAGCTCGGGGTTCTCGGAGAGCCAAGGCTGCAGCCGCCGGGGCTGCGGGTGCAGGGTCCGGGGCGCCGGTTACCCAGGTCCAGGCTGTGCCGGGGCTCGCGGCCCGGAGCCCGGAGCGGAGCGGCGGGTCGCCCCCTCCAGGCGGCGGCGGGCAGCGGCAGACCCCGGGTCTCCGCGGCCGGGGGGCTCTCCCCAACACCGTCTGCCCCCGCCCCGGAGGGAGCGCGCAGGGAATGGGGTCCAGGCATCACGCTCCGTCCGCCACCACCTGCTGACTTGGGGGCTCCTTCCCAATCCTCGGGGCTCCCGGCGAGCGGTCCCATCGCTTGGAAAGGACCCCGGGTGTGAAGGAAAGCCGGCGCTTACCCGGAGAGGGGCGGCCCGCATCGGGGGCCGCGCACGCAGGTTCGGTCCGGGAAGGGGCGACTGCGCAGCGCCGGCTCCGGCTCCGGCTCGGGCTCCGGCTCCGGCTCGGGCGCCCGCCGAGCGCCCCGCACCGCCGCTTGGGCTCGGACTTCCTCTTCCTCGGGCTCGGCCCCCGCCGCTCGGCCGCGCCCCGGCCCGCCCCTCTCAGCGCCCGGGAGCGGGCTCCGCCAGCCGCCAGCGGTGGATCCCCCGTCCCGCCTCCCCTCTGCCCTGGGGCGAGAAAGGTGGGAAGGAGGAAAGAGGAGAGAGAGAGAGAGAAATCGAAAGAGATTAAGCACTTGGACTTGTCTCTGGAGGCTTGCCAAAGTGAGCAGTCAAATTACAGCCCCTGGGGCGGCGTGGGGGGGCGGGGGGATTTAAAAAAAAAAATCCTGCTACTGTTTTTGCAGACACATCACTTTTCTTCATTTTCCAGGATCATCAGGGTTTTTTTTTTCCTTTAAAATAATACCAAAAATAATTCTTTTAAGTCAACATTCTAGTATTACACAGAAGCTCTGGGGAACTATGTAAAAAGCGGGGGGTGGGGGGAGCTCACTGGTTTACAGGCACCATTACCCTAATCACCCGAGTTAATGTACCAAGTAACGTTGGCTCAGGGAAAGTGGAAAGGAGCAAAGACTAACCTTTGTAACAGCCGGATGGGTGTTTAAAGGCACAGCTGTGCGGCGAGGTGATGACGACGGCCAAAGGCACGCGGATAATTTCTTAATTAACACCTCTCTTCCTTCAAAGGCAGGAAGACAGTCCCGTACCAGGTCTGAGTGCTGGTTGCAGTAGGTTTTGAACCTTGTAAGAAAGCTCTTTCACATTACTGGTTCACAGTCCTTTAACGTAACCAGTTAACGTAACCAGCTGTGTGGCCTGCAGGAAATTCCTTCACCTCTCGGTGCCGCCGCCTTCACCTGTAACATGGCGAGAAGGCTGGTGCTCAGGAAAGGCTTGGGAGACGACCCGACCCCTAATAAAGCCTGGCAGAATGTCAGCTCTTCTTGTTGCTGATTTCCCCCTTTTATCCGTTTTTATGCATGGACATAGTCCTGGAAATTATGATAAAGGTTTGGAACAAAGTGACGTTTGGGGCAGGAGGACCACGTCGTGGCCTAGTTCTCTCCCTACAGCGTGCTGCCTGTGTTCTGTTTTGTCATTTATTTTGTCTCCACAACTGACTGGTGTCACCTAAAGCTCGGAGGCTGGGCTATGCCTGGAGTACATCTGCCACAGATGATTTGCAATGGGACTGCAGCAGACACTGGCCATCTTCAAAGCCAAGTGCCGGTTGGTCTCGCAATAACCCTGTGAGGCGCACGGCACAGGTGCTAGTTTCCTTTCCTGGACAGGAAGCTGAGGCTGGGGAGGCTTCTCGAGACCCTCCCCAGTTCCCTGCCTGTCACCCCGCCTCTGTTGCTATTTGCAGCAGAAGCGAGCAGAGCTCCCCACACGTGCACAGCACATATCGGTCTCTTCCAGCCCTGCGCGCCAGGTGCTGGCCCTCAGTGGACACTCACAGACGAAGGTGCAGAGAGACCAACTAACTGATGAGCATGTCTGCGGCCATGCCTGACAGCTGGGCGGGGGGCGGGGCCCCTGGGAGAGGATGGGTTTCCTCATTCCTTGCGCACTGCTCTCTCTGCTGCTCTGCTCCCTGGCCCCATGTAACCACGCATTTCTCCGCACAGATGACTTCCAGAGAAGCCGTGTGATCTGACCGCCAGTTGCAGACTCTGCCACTGACTAGCTGCTCATCTTAGACAGATAACAACTCTGGACTTTGGCTCTATAGCTATGGAGCGGTGACTATATTTCCTGCCCAACCCACTTCACTTACTTCAGTTTATTATTTAGGGGACGGGTAGAAAGTGGAAACAGGAATGGGAGATCTCTTATTGATATTGAGTGCCAAACACAGCACTAGGCACCTACACCACCTTGTCATTCCTGATGCCCAGACAAATGTGCCCTGCCCTTCCGATCGTGAGAGAGGGGTCTCGAAATCACTTGGCCTGATCCACATGTACCTCGTGCATCTGTGTGTGCGCAGCATTGAGCTCAACTCCTAACTCACAGTAGATATGAAATGTGCAGAGGGTGGGTGATTGGATGGGTGCGTGAGAGGACATCATAAGAATTGTGAAAATGCTGTTCTGTAGCATTCCATAACAGAAACATGCCACTCCTCCCTTTAAGGAAAAGTAGCCAATGGAATGACTTTCTAATGGTGCATTCGGTATTGGGAAAATTCTTTTGGTGACAGGTCTTCCTAATAATATTATCAGTCAAGGTCAAACAAGGGAAACAGAAACCACTTAAAGTATTCAAAAAAGAGAGACTTTGATGCAGGGAACTGGCCCACAAAGGATGGAAATACCAAGAATCCGAAAGCTGTGAGGCAGTCCGGATATTAACACCAGCAGAAAGTCGCCACCACCCATAGGATGGAAGGGCGGGGTGGGGAGTTCCAGATGGAAGCTGTCTGTGGGCAGAGAGGGAGGTAAATATCCTGGTTTCTCCCTTCCTTCACACTCCCATCCACTGCCTTCCGTGGGCTGAACCCAGATGACAGGGGGACTTGGAACACTCAGGGCCTGCCACCCCTGCCCTCTGTGGTGCTGAGCAAGGAAGGGGCAAGAAGGGTCTGAGGGCAACCAGCCCAGGCCTCGCATAGCCCGCTAGTCATACCTTTCAGGTCTATCCGTTACATCGCTTTGGAGGAAAAGTGTTTGCCCTTTGAGATCACTGAGTGTCTCTCATAGCATCTCATTTATTCCTCATAGACACCTGGTGAGGTAGACAATATCATCCCTAAGTCACACGTAAGGTCGTAGAGACTCAGGAAGTTCCAGTGACTTGCTCAAGGTCACACAACTGCACATAGCAGAGCAGGGTCAAGCACGGCGCTGTGCGTTCCAGCTGTCCGGTGCGCTCCACTGACCCAGCTGTTTCGAACGGAAGGCAGGGCAACCACACACAGTCCCATGTCAGGGTTGCCAATCTATCACACACACATAGGGGTTAATATTTGTAAAGGTTACAGAGTTAAAAGGAAATCGCATCTTGCTTTCATTTTATGGCTTTTGGTGATAACTTTTATGAAGCTGTAATGACTGGACTGAATTTATGATCACACAGAATCAGAAATACTATGTCCACTGGACTGTAGGAGAAGCTCAGGGAAAAACACAGGCAGCATTTATCCTTTTTGTAAAAGAATGCCGTTTCAGTTTCAAATTTGGTTTGATGATGATCTAGAATATTCTGACCATTAAGGAGATGAGGGTATGAGAAGGGGCTTGCGCAGTCGCCTCACGTCGGGAAGACAGAAAACCAAGAATGCGAGTGCGTGCATGCGCGTGTGGTCGCGTGACTTGCGTCCTCAGAGTCCCTCCGCCGGGAGTGGGATCGGAGTCTTGGCGGGCACTGGTGCTCCCTTTCCTGAAGCCTCTAGTTCGCTAGAAGATTTACAGATCAAGAAGCTATGCTCATCTCAAGCAGTGAAAGGTAAAGTGGGAAGTGTCCACCATCACTAGTATGCAGCTGAGTTGGGCCTAAGAGTAGGCAGAGGAATGCGAGGCCACCTGGACATCCTGGTATTTGAGAACTCCCCTCCCCAGTAGCCAGGGGATTCGGGCTGGTGTCCAGGAGGCAAGTGCAAGTTCATTATCTACCAAGGATATAGGGCAGGGTCATCCTGCTCAGTATCACACTCACAGAGTAAGTGCACCAATCTTTGTGATTTCCTGCTGGCAAGGAAAGCCCCGGCAAAGGAGAGGGACCCCAGATACCAGCCAGGCCAAGAAGACGGCAGAGGGGCATGGAGAGACACAGGAAGGGTGACAGATACGGGCTTGGGTGACAGGAACGTCTGGAAGAAAAACAGTAAATAGCCCATGGTCAACATGATCAATGTGTCTGTTCCTCTAACTGCCTAAATTGCCTCAATTTCGATCAATAGAGTTAAGTAAGATACGCATTTGCATGCTTTGTAAATATGGGTATTTGCAGGAAAACATTCCAGAACCTGACACTTTTAAACTTAAAGTTGATTCGTCTTGGTTAAACAATCCAATATTATTTTAGGCAGATGCCCTGAACAGCTTCGTAATAGAGAACAACCTTAATTGTATTACACAGAAATAAAGCGACACTGGATAGTTTACACTTCTGCCTCAAAATTAGCTTTGTTTTCAAGTTTATATTAGAATATACATTGGGAAGGCTTTGAAAATTAGGAGTTTGTTTGTTTGTTTGTTTGGGCTATTTTCTTTGTGTCAGATGCATTGGAGGGAGGGGCTACTTCCAGCTTTATTTCTCAAAGTGTTATGTCTAGAAGTTCTCTGTAAGAATGGTACTGTACCCCTATTTGGAAGTGTGTGTGTGTGTGTAGGGGGCTTGAGGGGTGGGGGATGTATCAGCAGGGACAGTTCTGCACGACAAAGGGCCGTCCGGTCCTGAATACCGGCAGCATCTCCCTAAGTGCACCCTGTGAGGACTTCCCTCAGGGTGGGCATCTCAAATTTAAATGCGTTCAGGGGCTGCACCAGGCGAGTTAAAAAAAAAAATAGCTTCAACAGCTTGAAGCTGTGAGGACGTGGTGCACACACAGGGCATATAAATTCAAATATTCTTAAATACCGCTTTAGCCAAACAAACATCTCATTCCCTTAAGAGAAGTTCTTCTTGTGGCCCTCGGGTTCGCTCCTTCCCCTTTACTCTCCATTGCTTTTGGACAACTTCCCAGACAAAAATAGAAGAAGGAATCACTCCTTCCTCCTCCTCCTTCTCCTTTCTTAAAGACGGGTAGTTAACGGATCGGGAAAAGACTGATAGAAGATACTTTTGCTGCCCTCTGAGAGGTCAATGCCATGAATGCTGTAATTAAAATAATAAAATGAGTGGGGGGGGGGAATAAGGCTAATTTTAGCTATGGAAAATGAAATTAGTTAAAAAATGTAAACAATACACTGAGGACAGAGGCCCCGAGTGTGTTTTCTCATTCATTCTTTCATAGCTCTTCTCTCCTGGAATTTTACAACAAACCCTTAGAAGTTGGTAGACGTGAGGGTTGCTACTGGTTTTGGCACAGCTCCATGTCCCACCTCTATGTTCAGGGATGTACATGCATTATCTTATCGAATCTTC